TTCTGGCCTAGGCCTCTCAAAGTGCTAGGATTACAGGTATAAGCTACCACACCTGACAGGTAAACATATTTCTATATCAATAAGTATACTTCTATGAAAATAGTATACTTTTTTTTTTTTTTTTAGATAGGGTCTCACTCTGTTGCCTAGGCTGAATTGCAGTGGCACGATCTCGGCTCACTGCAACCTCTGCTTCCAGGTTCAAGTAAGTCTCATGTCACAGCCTCCCAAGTAGCTGGCACTACAGACGAGCATCACCATGCCCAGTTAATTTCTGTGTTTTTTGTAGAATTGGGGTTTCACCATGTTGGCCAGACTGGTCTCAAACTCCTGGCCTCAAGTGATCTGTCTGTCTGCCTCGGCCTCCCAAAGTGCTGGGATTACAGGCATGAGTCAACATGCCTGACTCCTCTAGGCCTTTTAAATCTTTTACTCATGATATTGGTCAGCCCACGGTCAAAATAATTAATAAAAGGTATACACAAAAATTCAACACCACAATGAAAGTTAAATTCATTTGTTGAGAACCACTCAAGCAACTCAGGTGTACACAGATAGACCTGTGGCAACTGGTGAACAATTAAATGGCACAGAAGTGGCTGGGTGCGGTGGCTCATGCCTGTAATCTCGGCACTTTGGGAGGCCGAGGTGGGCGGATCATGAGGTCAGGAGATTGAGACCATCCTGGACAACATGGTGAAACCCCGTCTCTACTAAAATACAAAAAAGTAACCAGGCGTGGTGGCACACGCCTGTAATCCCAGCTACTCAGGAGGCTGAGGCAGAGGAACCCCTTGAACCCGGGAGGCAGAGAGTGCAGTGAGCTGAGATTGTGCCACTGCACTCCAGCCTGGCGAAAGAACAAGACTGTGTCTCAATATAAATAAATGGCCCAGAAGCTGCAATAATGACCTCTACTGTGTAGTACTCTCTTGGCAGAGATACACAAGAACTCCAATAAGGTCCTCATATGATATGCAGAACCGCCTCAAACATCATGTGTCCATAGAACTTTGCCAAGGACAGTTTTTTTTTTACATCTCTGCACTGGCTTACCCAAAGATTGGACTGTGCTCATTTCTCAAGCCATTGTTTACTGAACATTCTTTGTAATGTATGGGGCAAAGACGATTGCCTAGGTGTAATTTCCTAATCATTGGGGTAGGTCTGGTTTCTGAGAGCCCAGTAGAGGAACTCAGTTCACAAAAATGGCTTTCTATAGTTTCTGCTTGATATTTCCTATTCTGCCATCTTTCCAGAATCCTCTCCCCCGACTTCATATACTAATACATCATTTCAGATCACATTACAAATGTCACCACCTCAAGACACTGTCTTCTTTTCCCCCCCCCGACCCCAACTTGAAACTCAATGGCACACTCTCTCACCCATTACTTCTATTTCATTTAGTGTATAGAATCTTTTCCACACACTTGTGAGAATCTGGAACATAAGGTTCACAGGGTTGATTGCTCTCTGTTTAACAAAGTAAAAAAGTTAAGTCATGTAGACCGGGTGCAGTGGCTCACACCTGTTATCCCAGCATTTTGGGAGGCCAAGGTGGACAGATCACGAGGGCAGGAGATCAAGACCATCCTGGCTAACATGGTGAAACCCCATCTCTACTAAAAATACAAAAAACATTAGCCGGGCTTGGTGGCGGGTGCCTGTAGTGCCAGCTACTCGGGAGGCTGAGGCAGGAGAATCGCTTGAACCTGGGAGGTGGAGATTGCAGTAAGCTGAGACTGCACCACTGCACTCCAGCCTGGGCAACAGAGCAAGACCTTGTCTCAAACATAAATAAATAAATAAATAAATAAAGTACTCCAACAAAGGCAACGTCAGTGAAGCTCCCTCTTGTGGTGAGGGTAGCATTAACATCCACACACTGTTGTGACTGGATTTCTCAAAATTGAACAGGGATCTAAGAGTGGAAAAACTCAAAATGTTTTTCCTGTGCATTCACACAATGCAATACCTCTGTGACCAACTATGTGGAGGATTTTCTCACACAGCAAACAAGCCATCCATTCTGCACTGAACACCACTTGCGTGTCCTCTAATTCACATGT